CCCCCCAAATCCTTCACCCCCTCCTTTTCCCTATGCCTGAGCCTGTAATTAGTTTCAGCTGCTGACAAAGCCGGTCTTCACAGTCTGCATCATTCAGTCAGAAGTTTCATTACTAATTAACTCCTTTCGAAGTTCAAATCTCCTAATTACAAGCAAACCCGCACACATGCTATCCCCCTCTGCCCCAGCCCTTCCTCGCCACTGCTCTCTTTTCCCAAGGCCCCACTCCTGACACCTTTCCCAGCAAGGCCTGGGGCCTCTGACAGGTTTTGGAAACTAAAAGGAGACCCAAACGTTTCTGCCCATGGTCAGGTTGTGGTCTCTTGGCCACCACAGGATGCTTCAGAGGAAGGTACCAGAAAACCCGCAGCAATCCACTATGCAATAATTTGCCCTTAAAGGGAGTTTTTTCCCCTAACGGTGACAGTTCACAGTTGATTCAAGCCCTCAGGGATAAAGAGGTCATAGCACTCATTTGAAAAAGGAAAAACAGCAAGGGAGAAAGGTTTCCTGACTTCTTTAACCATGGACTATTCTCATTATCCACATAACTGTCTCCTCTTTGTAAAAGTCCTGTTAAGCTCTTGGCTTCATCACTGTCTTGTGGCATCAAGGTCCATATCTAGGTTAATTATATTTTGCCTAAAACACGTTTCCTTGTACTGGTTCTATAGCTGGTACTTGCCTGTGGCAGCAACACTTTGTTTTGCTGAAGGGTCCCCTCCTTGTCCTTCCACACCCCAACCAGGGTCCATCCAGCTGCTGCCTGAAGGCAGCCACCACATATCCATTGACCCTCCACCATGTCTGCCAATGGACAGGGCAAGTCTGGGATGGGAAGAGACTCAAGGAGAACATGCGTCACCAGCACACACCAGGAGAGAACCATCATCCACCCCAAACCATCTGGGATGGAGTCAGTGCTGAAAGCCACAAGTTACAGGACAGTTAAGGAGATGTGCAGGTGTTTCAGAGCTGGACATGTTGTGGTAGTGCTTGATAACATGACTATGCATAATGCAAGATGATGTTAGAAACAGGTGATGGGATACAGGCAAAGCTTTTGGGCTCGATTCCCGAATGACAAATAGCAGAAGCAAGGTATG